GTATTTTCTTCAGAAGTAGCTAGCTTTCTCTTTTATTAATGCAATAATATTGTTGTTATTTCTAGTTGTCTTTTTTTGCAGTCTTTAGGACTTGTATCTATAGTTTTACTTTTTTTGAATTGATAACAAATTTAAATATATAGAAATCTGCTATAAAATATAAAAGATAATATAAAAAATAATCTAACTATTTAAAAGTATAAAAGAACCTAATTTTATTAGCAAAATAAAAGTAGAATATTAATGTGATAAGAAGTTATACAATTGTTAATTATAAATAGCTTATAATATAATATTATACAAACTACAAATAGATAAAAAGTAATGTAAAATCAGGTAATACTAATCATTATAGCACAATATAATACAGTATTATATTTTCATAGTATAAATATACTTAATTATACAATTATTTATACAGATTATTCTAAGTGTTATCATCACATGAAACAAATAATTTTAATATAATAGATAATAAATTAGAATTGTCAGTTTAAGGGTTTTTCTTACTATTACTCATATATATTCAATTTATTTTTTTCTTTTTTTTTTTATTAGCAATAGAGATAGAAACTTTAGCTTGATGACTATATGACTCATAATAATATATTTCTTACCAGTATCATGGAGAATTGCAGTTATATGGGTCTTTGTTCTTTTGGCCTTCCAATTCAACTCGCTTGGCTTTTCACACAGACTAGAGTATCGTTCCAGGTACTACCACCAATAGACTACGATGTTGACCACACAGTTTTTCCTTTAGAATGTTTTTCACTAAGCTAACTTAATTCTTTATTATTAGAGATCGTTATGCTTAAATACAAGATTATCTCCAGATATATTATTACTCGGGTTACACACATTATGCATTACATACTATTAGACTATAAATTACTTTTATGTATTTACTAATTCGATGATCACGCAATTCATGCAGATCTGAATCATGCCACTTATGCACCCTGATCCTAATCTGGCACCACGAAATCCCAGGGTACTAAATTAACCTGTGACATGAGCTAGATCCCCTGGAACTTCGTCCCTGAAGTTTCAACCCCTGCAAAACTATACCATTAACACAAAATATTCCATTCACAATACCTTACTCAACTACCAAACCTAATGCTACCTAAATACACTAATAAATACAATACATTGTTCAATTAATACATTAAAAAAAAATTTTTTTTTTTTTTTTTTTTTCTCAAACATTTCCACAGCATTACTATACTCACAAGTCTAAATATCCAAGCTTGCGCATTTTGATCTGGTTTCCAAACAGCGCATGTTCCAACCCATCACATTCAATTACATGATCCAGGTAAAGTTAGCTGTAAAATTCTCTTTTCCTTATTCGATCCAACATGTTCAATACCATCATTGAATTTCTGGCACAAGGTTTTTGTGCCCTAGACATGCCACTTTTATCCCATTCGTGCTTGACATTAAAACAGAACCTAGACAATGATCCATAGTCCAACCCTTTTCTCACTTTCATACCATCATTCACAGATCTGGACGTTTGTAGCATATCTTTTGCACCTTCAACATCATTTTTGGTTTGATCAGCACTGAGATCTTCACTTTCAACTGGACTTTTGGCTGCACCATTAATCAGAGGCATCTTTATTTCAAGATTAGTATTTGGCTTATTTTCATCGATCCTATCTCCAAGGCTAGATTGCTTATTTGAA